TGGTGGAAAAAAACAGGTCGAATGTATGACTGCCCACGTGTGTGGGGCCGTTGACATGTTGGGTCATGTTCAAGGAAGCCATGGTTTCCAAGAACTTGAGCCAGCCCAGAGATCTCTGCCTACGCGTGAACGTTGAAATCACCCAGAACAAGTAGCTCTGGGGATCTCAACAGTGCCACGGAGACGATGATATTCAGAAACTGCTGCATTATTCTGTACACACTCAAGTCGATGATATTCAGAAATTGCTGCATTATTCTGTACACACTCAAGTCTGTACAGGATTGGAAAATCCAAAAAAGGCACACTGCTCTCTGCAAGGAGAAAAGGGCAGCCTCTCTCTGCAAGGATAATTCCTTGGCACACGACTTCTCAGTACAAGGCTGGCATAGCTGCTCATAGAAATCACAACAGGGGAGACACTCCTGCAGGGCTGCTTTTGTGCAATAAAATTAATAATCGACAGATCAAGGTCAGCTGCAAATGTGCTAAGATATAAAGAGCCAAAAAGGACAGGAACAGCCTACAGGCAAGGGAAGCGTGTGTTTATATTATTTACGAGACTTCCTGGCTTCCACAACAGGGTGTATGGTCAGCACACGCAGCTGTTTCATAAGAAGAATTTTACTCACCTTATAAATAAATATGGTTCTCCTTGGAACAAGTTTCCTCATGATTGTGGTAACACTATTTCGAATGTTTATATACCACTAACTTTCTCCTAAACAGGGCCCAAGGTAGTGCATGGTATTAAAAAGAAACTATACTAAAAGCCAAAAACAACAAATGATTACAATACTAAGAAGAATTAAACAAATGTAAAAACTAGTAGACGAAAACAGTCTGCAAGGAATTCAAGATAAGCACACAGGTTTTGCAGCTGCACCTCTGCTGGCCAAGGAGATACTCTTAACAAGCGCCATTTTGAGCCCATGCTTGTTATGCTGTAGGTCCTATTCCACACCATACATAGAAACACACACGAAAAAGAATGCTACACGACCTGCTTCCATGAATCTGATTAAAGGGTTAAATATGATGCATGGATGGCTCTATGTCACTTTGGGTACCTGACTGGCGATGTAACATTTTTGGATGACTTAACAAGGAAGATAAGGCTCAACCAGGAACAATTTCAGACCTCATCAAAAGTGATAGATAACAGGAGTAGCAGCACTTGACATATGGTTTCTATTGCCCAGTAGCAATTTCTGCTCAATCTCTACTTGCTGTTACATGGTCTCAAAAACTCCTGACATGCCGACTTAGTCCCATCTAGCCTTTTATCAGTGTGTCCACAGCTATACAGCAGCAGTTTTGTAAAAAGCGACTTCTGCTCTTAAAATGGCTGAGTATTCTATTACCTAGTTTTAAAAAAGGCACTATTTGTTCTGGATTTCCTGTATACCAAATCACACTCAAGAGATTTTTGTACAGCAATTCTATGTAGGCCTACCTGGAAGTAAGTACAACTGATCTTTGTGAAATTTTTGTCCAAGTATGCCTAAACTGGAGTGTCCTATGATGCTGTCAGTGGAACATACAAAATGAATTTACCAATTTAATTTTTTAAAATTCTTATAATGAAACTAAGATTACAAATTTCTATGGATTCAATTCAATCCAACAAATAACTTCTGTAACATAAAAACCAAAAGGACAATTTACTTCTCCCTTGCTCATTCCAATACATAATACTGCCTACTATTCATATCATTTACCTGTACTCCACATGTAATTTCTTTCCACCCTCTGACCTAGTGAAATTAAGTGGCAGCAAACAAGCCAAGAGAAAGTGCTTCTTCGCACAAGGAAGAATTCATTTCTACATTTTGTGGCCACAAGATATGGCGATCATGAGCCACAAGAGTATGCTCCGGTGCGGCTGGCGGTTCACGAATTGTACGTCTGAGCCAGTCCCTGTCTAAGTTTCCATGCCGCTGGTGCTTATCAGTCAGTGGATATATTTAGTTTCCTCGAAAACACAAGGTCAAAACAACAAGTTCTAGGACTCAGTTTCAGTTACAAGAGTCTCAAACTCAAGCAGCAGCAATTCAATAACAAGCTCTAAGGCAATTCTCAAGTAGCTGAGGGTCCTAGAAGTGTGACAGGGCCCTGGGAAAAGGAATCACCACTACTACTATTCTGTGTCAGGTGCCTTAAAGGTTAAGGGGCACATGAATCTGACATAATGAGGCAGAGGCTGAAATTAAGGAGTAAGCTGCAACTAGAGTAGGCCTATTGAAGCAATGAAACTTACAGAGAAGTAGATTCATCAAATCTCTACTGATTCAACAGGCCTATTCTAATTGTGGTATATTGCTGGATTTCAGCCAACGAGTCTTCATTAAGCTGCTGCTGAGCCAAGTAGCTTTACAACCACTGTACGCCAAGTAATTAACTGATCAAATATTTGTTCCACTTATATCTTATCGGACCCTAATATTTCATACGGCTCTCATTCTCTCCACTTTTCCCTCACAAAAACAAAGCTCAGGGTACCTAGTGTATTTTCATGGTTCAGTTGGAGTTTCTGCTGTCCTAGGCCAAGACTTTAACTGTTATATCACACTGTCTTTATCATTTTCATTAATAATGATGTAGTTAAATACTCCAAGAAGGTACAATGCAAACAGTGTGTGAAGGAGGGAAGGCTAGTGTGCCGTCCTCTACCGGTCATATCACTAAGGAAAGCCGTGGATGCGTGGAAGGGATACTGGTGGAGATAGGACAGGAGGAGGTGGAATGTAGTTACTAGAGGTGTGTCTAGCTGACGAAGGGGGGGGAGGAGTTGGACTTAATTATCTGGGAGGAGGCTATAAAAGAGGAGGAGAGCGCGCGGACTTTCAGAATCCTAACGGACGGAGGACAACCGGAGAGAAAGAGTGAAGGAGTGCAAACAGAGCTAGTATTCGGGCAAGAAAGCGCTACGGGTCTGATGAAAGACTTTCCAAACCTACAGATTGGAGGAGGTTTGTTGCCAGACCCAAGGGGTTTGCCTACAAAAAAGGGTGAATTAGAACCACTGGAATGGACCGTGGTGGTATATCCTCGCAATCAGCATGGGGGACAGAGGGCGATCCATCCCAGTCCCTCTTTACTCCGTCCACAACGCGAGGGGGACTGGGCGTGACACCCATGCTGTGGGACAGTTTGTGCCATGAGGAGCACCCCCCTGAGACCTATGACCGATCGGGAACGGTTTGGACCGGCCCCTCTGTGAGAAGTGATTTGAGGACGCCAGATGTTAAGTTTATTAGACCCATTTGAAGCTGTTGAACTAAGTTTGCTGGACAATAAAAAGACTCATCTTAAACGTTCAGAGCCGCCTCCACCTCTTCTTCCTGCACAAACTCAGGGTTCGCCTCTTGCAGAGGACGAACCTATTCACACAATGCTGAAAGAATTGGCTGGCTGCCTAATTTAATACCTTGGCTGTTATTTTGCTTTACGTACTTTGTTTCAATTTCCTTTCAATAAATTTCAGCAATAGTAAACCTTGAATAAAAGCCAACAGGAAAAACTGTTTAGTAAATCATTGACATTTATAGAAACTTTATCTGACACTGTTTAGTAGTACACAATAAATTACTAAAAATTACGTTGTATCTTCACAGTAACAGGAATGTTGAGAATAAAAAACTAGTGTGTTCTTTAACAGTAAAGCCCATTGATATTAACAGCAAAACTCTAGGCATGCCTATTCAGAGATAAACCTGAAGGAGTTCAACTAGATTTATTCTCATGTAAAATGACAAATGTGCCTAGGCCGCAATCCATGCTCACTCAACTGGCAACACATTTCATTAAACTCAATGAGGCATAGGTTCAAGGGGTGTAGCATAAATCTACATACAATCTACATGTTTGTCCTTTTGAAACAGCGGTTCCCAAATATGGTCCTCAGAGATGACCCAGGACTATGATTCCCAGAAACTCTGAGCCCTGGCTGTGCTAACTGAGACATCTGGGAGTTGTAGTCCAAGAAGGTCTGGGGCCTCAAATCTGGGAACACTGTTCTCTAAATCATATCAGTACTACTGACTTGAAAACTATTTGACTAGTCCAACTGACCAAATATTTTTGATCCATCAAACTCCCTGTGGAAGAGTGTTTGTTAGAAGAGGAACGTACTAATGCTCTTTCACAACAGGATGAGAGGATTCGCTGTTGCTCTTCTAAGACACAACAATACAGAAACCTAAGAGGTGAAGCTAGTGTGGAGCACTTGTTGTTCTAGTGCAGGTTACAACCCTGAATAAGCTGTGGAACTCACTGGGGTATAGCCTTGGCCCCAGTCACTCTCATTCTTAGCCTCAGGTACCTCATAGGACTGTTGAAGGGAGGTAGATAGCCATACCTAGCACTCCTCCTCTGGGGGAAAGGTGGACTATCGATATAACTAATACATGAATAATTAAACCACAAACTTAGTTTAACAGGTTCATTAGAAAAATACTCAACAAGGTATATATATTTTAATTTTTAGTTTACGTGCCATTATTTAAGAAATGCTGTAGTTGAGATACACCCATCCGTCACAAATTTATCAACACTTTTCAGTCACAGCCTCTGGGCAGAGGGTATATACACCACCTTGACCACGGTGTCTGGAGGGGGGTGGACAAGCAACGGGGATGAACTATCACATGACGGCGTGTTACTGAACTTACAGAGCCATCTAGCCAGGTTTCCCTTGGAAACAAAATGTTCGACAAAACAAGCCTTGAGCTAAGAAGATAGGGCAGGAAAATAAAGGAAAAAAAGAGTTTCATGTTCAGTAACTGAACATAGCTATGGTATCCAAATAACTGGTTATGCATTTCCAAAATGGCTAGCTAGGCCATTATTTAAAAACAGACAAGTTAATCAAGCAAGTGTTCATTAATTTGTATTTGTGAGTTAAAAAGTTTTGCTCCTGGTTTTTAATGCATGAAACATCAGAAAAGACATACATGATAGGAAAAGAAACCAAAAGCAAAACACAGTTTAAAACCCACCACTGCTGTATTTAGCTGCTGCTTCTCTGCCCTTCGGCAATGAGAAACCCTTCAAACTTGTGGGAAAACCAAGAACTGCTTTTTCTGAGGAAGAAAGAAACACAGTTTTGTAGTCCGTGTGCAAAATCCCAAACAGAGCTCGGTAATACATTTATTGGAGCATCTAAACAGGTTGAGAGATATGGTGGCGCTCTGGGTTAAACCGCAGAAGCCTCTGTGCTGCAGGGTCAGAAGACCAGCAGTCATAAGATTGAATCCACGCAAAAAAATTGCTAGTAGATAAATAGGTACCACATCGGTGGAAAGGTAACGGCGTTCCGTGTCTAGTCGCGCTGGCCACGTGACCACAGAAATCGGACAAATACTGGCTCTATGGCTTGGAAATGAGGATGAGCACCGCACCCTAGAGTCGGACATGACTGGACTAAATGTCAAGGGGAACCTTTACCTTTAGGTGAGCTTTTGAGTCACACAGGATTCTTCATTAGGGTGGGCATTGCACCAGTCCCTAAACAAGAGTTGTACAAAAATTGAACTGTTTATTTTAACAAAACAAAACAAGTGTCATCCACCCTATTTTCTGCCAAAAAAAATACAATTTTTTTTCCTATGAAAAATATTTATTGCTAATCCAGACTCTCACAAATACAAGCACACTGATTTTTCAACAAACTGACTTTTTAAAAATCTTGGAAACACAGCCATCCAGATTTGGCTGTATGTAGTTTAATACATGCAACCTGACGAGTCCTGCCGAAAACAGTTTGTGAAATGGCACATTAGTTGACTCTTTTTATAAATACAAAGAACATGCAATATCTACTGTAAAGTTCTCAGCCATTCATCTTGACACTACCATTATATTGTGTCTATTGAAATGTAGAAAGTCAAAAATCTGTATCTCCAAGAATGAAAGCTGAAGAGAGAGGAGTGTCCTTGTGAGGAACAAGTCCAAGCAAACTTTCAAGAAAATTCAGCATGGCTGATATCTGAGAATGTTACAAAATGATCAGCTGCGGAAAACACAGGAGTCTTTAGAAGCTTTCCTGAATCAAGAGATTGTTTCTGATGGACTGAAGTGTGACTCCCATAATTGCTCATCATTAGGCATGTTGGCCAGAAAGAACTACAACTCAGGCACACCAGGGACATATACATAATAATCCCAGAAAGATTCATAAGGAAATCTAAACAGAAACCCATGCAGAAATGCAAAAGATACTGCAGTGGGTTTGGCTTTAAAAGCACAAGGCCTGCTGGATATATTTTATTTCCAAAAGCAAAAAACCAAAGCAAAAATACAGAGTATTTTAACACTCCTTTTTTCTTCAAATGACAACCATTCCTCACATTACAGTATCTTCTTTTTTTCCAAAACTTAGTTATTCCAAAAGTGTATCACCTATTCTAAGGAGGGAAATCCACTCTAGGTCAACGAACTCTACCCAGCCACAAGGACAGGGGATCACTACACACAAAAGACCAGCTAATACACCCATCAACCACAGTGACAGAAAATATCTTCTCCTTAGCACAACAGTACACCCACAACAAGACACACTAATCACCCATCTACAGAAAAAGACAAAAGCCTATCTCACTGCCACAAATACTGCACTCCCAAGCCAACTATACCAGAGCACAGAGTGCTGTCCTCTGAAGATGCCAGCCACAGTGACTGGCGAAACGTTAGGAAGAATAACCTTCAGAACATGGCCAAAGAGCCCGAAAAACCCACAACAACCAGACAATATAAATCACTGTCCCTAAGCAGTCCTTTTAACTCCCAAAGAAAAATGAACAGAGTTTTAAATACACCTTGACACCATAAAAGAAAATGTGAAGAGAAAATAAAATTAGGAACAAGAATGCACAACAGATCACAGATTTCACAGGTAAGGGGCGCTGCCATCTTGACCAAAGGCCCTGACTGTTTTTTACCTAGGCACTTTCCTTTCCTACAACTATGCAGATTCAGAAACAGTGTATGAGAGCTGGGCAATATTCAAAATGCCCCACGCTCCACGACACTTCTGGCATCCTTGTTCCCCCCCACTCCCCCCCCAAAAATAATTGTGGGGTCGATTCAGGAGGCGAAAACCCCAACCCCCTGTTCCTTTAACACAAGAGTGTTCTGTCGATTCCCAAGAAGCAAAGTCAGGCTTCTGGGGGAAAGGTTGTGTGTCTCTCTCTCCCCCCCCCCTGCCCTCACCTCCCACGCGGCA